TTCGGTGGGAAGTCCTCGTATGGTGAGTTATTGGGGGTTTCATCCAAATTTATAACCTCCCGGGCCATAACGGTCTGTAGAAAAAGCACGCTCTCCGGACCTCGCGTGTATATGCTCTGCGAAATACCGGCAATATTTCGGAGATTGGTGTATAGCTGTTTGTACGTTATGCCGCCGTCGAACCAGTCTAGACCATGCCGATAGCGTATCATGGTGTTGTTTTCGCTTCTGATCGCCGCTGGTAATTCATTGAAATCACAGGGAGGTAAAATAATCCAGTGGCCTATGTATCTTCTTTCCACAGCCACGACGCCGATCTCCTTCGGCGCCAGACACCCCTCGGAGTCTTTGAAGTATTCGATCTCGATGACAAAATCCATGGTCATGATACTAACTCAAAGGCGTTCAACGAGAAACTAACGGCGATGCTGACGATCACAGGCGATACCGAGTGCACAAAAGATGATGACGCATACCCCAAATTGCTGACCTATGTATTTTCTTCGATTGTATAGCCGCGGTAATCTACGACGATCTGCCGCGCGGCGTCGATCTCCAGAACGTTACCGTACTCTGCGTATACGATACGGTTCACGGTGGTGGCAAGCGGTTCGTCGAAGCGTACCTCAATTCGTACACTACCGTGCTTGAGCAGTTGAGATCGAAAACGAACAGGCAGTAGCCGTCTGCATAAGCGCTCCTAGATATCGAATTACCCTCGTTGAGGAAGTGTATGCCCGTGCCACTGAAGAGTGTATGATACGCGTCCACGTAAAGACCAGATTTCCCGAAATCGGTCTGCAGTGCTTTCGAGGGTACTTGAACACCGTCGACGTACAGCGATAAGAAATTAATACGATACTTTTTAAAATTGAACGGGTTGAGTTGATAGTTACCATTGAAGGTCTTGTTATCGACGAAACCTATTATAATTCGCTTAGGTAATTGGCCGAGAATCACGTTATCCATAGTGCCGCCGTGCAAACCGGCGTGCATTGTCAGCGCCTTCACCTCGACACGCGTAAGCGGATACTTTGCCGTTGTCTTAGACAACATTTTAGAATGAGCAATTAGAATACCGGGGCTTATTTTGGCGCGTCTAACGAGGAGCGTGGCCTCCGTTATATGTAAAGAACACTCGCTGTCGGGGTCTATGAGGGAGAAACCGTCTCTCGTACGTACCAGCCGTAATCGGAGCTCAACACCATTTAATACAAATTTTTCTTGGTTAAACACATCGCAGTGTAAATGACCGATCAGATCGACCGTCTTGTCTTTACCGACGGATGCCTCCCTATTCACGAGACCCATATTCCTGCCAGCTGTATCGTCCATATGACCGGGCGTGTCATCGTACCAGAGGTGTGACCTCGAGAAGTGTGACCCCCTAGCGGCTGGCCCGTAATTTAATACCGTCTCTATATAGGCCCTGTAAGCGTACGCGTTATTAGGTGGTGATACGAGTTTCTGATTAAGAAACACGTCCACCTGATTGAACAGCGAGTGTAGCAGATTGTTAACAAGTGCTGCTTTGCTCAGAGCGTCAGGATCTGACGCATCCTTGGATCGCAGCTGTACGCGTAAACTCAGCATGGTGTGGGCTAGATCGAGGTATTCGTCGCCATTACCCGGCACAACAAACTCAATGGGCGAGTCATCGGTCAGCGATGAGATGGGCTTGCAGTGTACCCACTGGACGCTCCCTATAGTGGTCTGTGTCGGTTGTCGTGTAAAGAGCTCGAGCTCCGATTTCATACACTCGCACGATTGAGCGTGTAGAAAGGCCATGATAGAGGTAGCGTTTAGGAGAAGATATCCAGCACACTCCGCTTTACTTTCCTACTAGCGACCCTACGACGATTTTTGGGTTTCTTGGTTTTTGACTTTATTTTTTTTTTACTACTCTTTTTTCGACACGGCGCAGACTGCTTTCCCGTACGTCTTTTACGCTTGTTAGCGGCTCTTGAGGCGATGCTCCTTTCAGCGACGCCGATGACAGAGTGGGCGCCACGTGATCGTTTTACACCTTTATAGCCCGATCCTTTCATGAGCTCGTCAATTTTCGCCTCCGTCTTACGTTTAAGATTCATACCCGATTCGGTGGCCCTGGTGCGAAACGGCTGTTTAAGCGGAGTGCCGCACTCGCTGACGTCTGTCAAGATATTCATGCCCGCGCGCACCGCCTCCTTACCGACGGCTCGGGCTCCTCTTGATAGCAAAGTTAACACAGGCCGAAACAGACCACCGAAAAAGCTACCAATACCATGTCGTCGCTGATAAGGCGACCTCGCGAATACCCGAAATTTTGTGGAATGTCCCCCACCGATCTGCGAGTCGTAGTCATCGGTGTAGTGAGCCATCAGTCTAGCCGTTTAAAGTGTAGTGTTACGGAGAGCGTCCCTGATTCGAATGGTATAGGTTCGCCTAGTTGGTCTCTTATATCGATGTCGATCGTTTGAAAAGTCGTGCGGAGCAGTGGTATATACTTTGGCGGTAAATACGAGAGCACTTTCATGGCGGTGTACGCGTATTTGTTATCCGTTTGCAGGGAAACTGCAATACGCAGCAATGGTGTTTGGAGGTCGCCGGTGATATACGGTTCGCAGACAACGGTGTAAACAAAAAGCATCTCAGGTAGGGCGTTGATCAGGCTAATCGGCTGATCGGCCATCACAACGGGCTTTGCTGTCGATACCACGACCGATTCGGGAAAACCTAGGATGCGTGCCAGAGATCGGCAGTCTCAGTTCGTGCGGGTCGTCTAGATCGTTATCGGTAGAGACGAACGATATGCTAGCGTAACCACCTCTACAGAGTTCTAATTTCAGACGGCCCTTCATAGCCCCGGTAGCGTTTATTTCGTCAACGAGTGTCTTTACGTCGTCATAAACACCGTGCGCCACGTTAGAACCCGTTATCATAAGACCCACTACCTGTTCTTTGTGGTTCTTCCGCGGTTTGGTACGGGTGGTGACCACGCTCACGTGATCCCAGTCTTTTAGCGCTACGGGCACGTGAAGAAAGGTCATAGGAATCTGTATTTCAACCAGAGCAATAGTCCATGCCTCGTGTAAATCGATCAGATGCGGTAGATGCGTGGTAAAACTGGTAGTTTTATTTTCGGCAAAGTACGACATACTGCTGTTACTGGGCAGAACGAGATAAAATTGGTCCTTCATTGTTCTTTAAGCGGGCAGCCGGTATCCACGAATTAAATTTCTCGGTGTAACCGACCCAGCTGACCAGTACTTTTTGAGCTTTCCCACGACCGCTTCGTTTTATCACACGATCGACGAGAAACGTGTCCTTTGCGAGGTCCTTGCCGACTCGAACGAGCTCTTCCTCGTAAAAAATACCGTCAATCTCCTCGCCGGCGAGATCTTCTAAGATGTAGACGGGTGGTTCCCTCGTTGTACCTAGGCGTACGATTTTAAAAATCTCTCGAGTCCAGCCCCCCTCGTAACCTTTCGCAAAAGGGTTCCTAGCGCTACTGATGCGTACCAGGTCGCCGACACCGTATTTAGGGATACGCGGGTTCGCCGTGGCGTATCGCATGGATACGTTCATACGTGCCGTAGCGTAAGTAAATAGAAATGAAATACAGAAGATAAAGAGCAAAGATAATATCACTGTGAAGGCACGAATCCTAGTGACGGATCTTTGAGTATAAATACGTGAAGTCTACAAAAGAAAAATAAAGAAAACAACTACGCTGGTCAACCAAGCGGATCGTAAAAGAGGAGGTTGGAAGGGAATTATAGAAGAACCGATAAGGGGAAAAAAAAGAAAAGAAAAGAATAGAGGAAAACGGCGTGTATATACCAACATAATATCACTTACCGGAAGCTGCAACAGCTTCGCTGCCTTCTTCATTGACCTCGATGAACCCTTTCTGGAGGATCTTGCTCACCTTAAGAGGCGTATCGGCAATGCCTGAGAAATCAGCGGCATCCGTGAACATCTCAGCCATACCTACCTAAAATATCATTCATGGATCACAAACTCTCATTTTGTTATAAATCAAAGAAACCCCTATTTACGTCTATACACAAATTACCTTTTGCAATAAATTATTGAGCTCGATGGTGTTCTCAATTTTGAACTTTGGCACAAAGAGGATCACTTCCTCATTCCTACCATACTGATTTAAACGACTGAAATCTAAGTCATGAATATTGTTCTCGATGCGCTGAAGCCCATCAATCTTATTAGGCACAATTATAAACATACTGACCTCATCGCCCTGAAACGAAAAATTAAAGTTTATGAAATTTTCGATAAAAACAAGAACCTAACAAAACTAATAAGTATCTCATGCAATTATACCTTATAGGGAAGTTCAACAAATCTGGCATCAAGATTATGAAGCTGACCATGCAAGTACATGGAAGTAATTGTCATCATCGGTACTTCCTTAATTGTATTTGAATTGATATGGAAGGGTAAGTCGCTGGTGTACTTTCCATCGAAACTATCTTTCCACTTGCCCTTGAAGTAAATAGCATTTATCAGTACCAATTTAGTACGATTGTCGATATCGTCTGTAATTTATAAAATGAAAAGTTAGACAACCGACTGACAGTGCAGGTACGTATAAAGTGGGATATATACCCACTGTATGTACAGTCCTGCTGTATAAAGTATAATTTATCAAAGAAGAATAACTCTATTAAGCTAACCAGGAGTGAGTAGATCTTTTATACGATTGTTCGTATTATTAGCACACCAAGAGTTGATAGTAGCTGCAGCAGCTGTTGGATTTGAAACGTCTACTGTCTCGCATTCCGAGTGGAAAATATCCTTAGTAATAGCCGTGTAATCGGGATTGACTTCGAATTTCTTAGCGACAAAGATTTTATTAGCAATTTGCAAATCCACGGTCTTTATATCCTACAAAAAAATAGCATTTAATGATGATCAAATCATAGTTTGAGCAGACAATGCCGCGCTACCTCAAATTCCAATACATACATTCAAACTAGTGATAAGAGATTCATAACCACTTTGTCCTATTGCGTCTTCCTCAGGAAGCGTCAATGTTTGTCTTATCTGGAAACCAGTGTTTCCACGGGCACCATAGGCAGCCATAGCCAATACAATATTGACGCTCAAGGGAGAGCATATTATATTTCCAGTCTTCTCCTGCAGTAACCGCTAATAAAGAAAAAAAGTTTAATTAATTACTTAATTCATTAATTACACCAATCACTTCCAAGCTAGAAAAATCTACCTTAAGGAAGTCGATGCCAAAGGAGTTACTAGCGCTCGCTATTACCGACAGAGGACTGTTTGAGGTCACTATTTTTTCTGCATTTGTATATGTCACCAAAAATGTGCACAGCACTGTTAGACAGATGAAAAATGGGCCCACTGAAACATCACAAGAGAAGATATTAAGATGAGAAATCCTTGCATAAGGTCATCCGTAGTTTTATAAATAATACGGCCACAGTAGTTCCGTTTTCACTGCCATTACCAAAATTACCATGCAAATATTTTCAATGCTAGATGGGTTTTGAAATTAATTACTCACACGAAAGTTGCATAATGTCTATAACGTGGGTCCTTAGAGGACCACAGTAATTGGTTGAATGAAAAATACAGTAACAGTTTTTAAGACAGCAGCTTCGGAAGGCACTCGAATAATATAGTTATCCCCCAAAAAACACTTACGTGTAAAAAACTACGCCAAGTACAGGATTGCTGTTCCTCTAACAAAAAGTATTGATATCATATTTTTGAGGCCAAGTACATAAGTCACTACATGTTTTCCTATTTTATGATCTAGCACTGGCCCATCATTTTAATTATATTTTCAATGTTTCCTATAACGTTTTCGCTACTCTTTTATGTTACTGCTGCTTCCCGTATTTAATTATGGTTTAATGGTGATTTAATAATTAATAAAACTTTATGTGATTCCTTATCGAGTACTACTTGGCGGGTCCGTGCCAGGAATTCCAAAGTACTTACTTTACACGTGCTCATAGTATTCTAATGCTGTATGTTTGTTATTAAGCTTTTACCGTGATTATTTTTGACGAGTTATTGTTAATATGCTTTCTATAGAAAATTGGTACTGGTTTTGTACCAAATTTATATCAAGAAATGCACGGACCCGCCAAGTAGTACTCGATAAGGAATCACCTAAAGTTTTTTTAATTATTAAATCACCATTAAATCATAATTAAATACGGGAAGCAGTAGTAACATAAAAAAGTAGCGAAAACGTTATAGGAAATATTGAAAATATAATTAAAATGATGGGCCAGTTCTAGATCATATAATAGGAAAACATGTAGTGACTTATGTACTTGGCCTCAATAATATGATATCAATACTTTTTGTTAGAGGAATTCACAGCAATCTTGTACTTGGCGTAGTTTTTTACACGTAAGTGTTTTTTGGGGGATTATACATGGTTACGTCGACTGGACGCATTCTTATCGCAGAGTGGCGCGTCCTATTGTACGATTCCACGAGGCTCTGAAGAATATCTATGTACCGCCGCGTGTTTCTATGTGTAAACTAACGCCACATACGCTCCTTCAGAGTACGATTGTAGCGTTCGACGACAGCTGCCTTTACGTCGGGGCTGCGCGCTACGCGGAATCCTATGCCGAGCTCCTCGAGCAGACGCTGCAGTACGCCATTGGTAAACTCTTTACCTTTGTCTGTCTGTAGGTACAAGGGTATCCTATTCTTACTACGTACCAGAACCCTCCGGAATGCCGCTGCTACCGTTGCACCGGACTTATCGCGCAAAGGCTCGACCCAAGCGTATTTGCGTATTTGCTCAGTACATAAATTATTACAAGAATATACGTGTGACCTTCGTTGTACTCCTTCAAGGAGCGAAGGTCCACAAGATCAGCCTCCCAAACATCGTCGATATTGCTGACGGCGTATAAGAGCGGCGCTGCACCGGACTTATCGCGTAAAGGCTCGACCCAAGCGGATTTGCTGAGTACATCAATTATTACAAGAATATACGTGTGACCTTCGTTGTACTCCTTCAAGGAGCGAAGGTCCACAAGATCAGCCTCCCAAACATCGTCGATATTGCTGACGGCGTATAAGAGCGGCGCTGAAACGTGCGACGTACGGGCTTATGCAGCGTATACGCGTCTTTGGCCGCCAACCAATCTACGACGGAATCTCGCTTTACCCTACCCTTAACCGCTCGCTCGAGGTTACCGATACC